ATACCTATAATTTTTATTATATGCTGATCAAACAATTACTATTTTATTTTTTATAAAAAATCCAAAATCAATTAAAAAGTAAAAAACAATTCTAAAGTCATAGGAGGAAAAAGAGTCCTAAATCAAGGAAACTAGCTTAAAATTTATAACTTAAGAGCCCTAGATAGTCAGCAGAAGAGCGCTAGAGGAAGAAGGATCTCTGTCCTCTCTTTTTATAGAGATTAACAATAAATTTCTTTCCTCATTCAGGAGAGATTTAAAAGTAGTAGGAGTAGAAACTCTCTACTATAAAGATCAGATTGAATTAGATTCCTCAGAACTTGGAATCTAATTTTAATATATCAACAAATGTTTCTGGACCAGTAAATTCATACCACAAATAAAAATTCTAGCTCTGATTAGATTATTAGATACTGTAGACAATCCTTGAATAAAATTAATAATAAATCATAAATAAAAAATTTATAAAATGATTTCTTCAGGCAATTCCCAAAGAGGCTTAATCTTCAAAAATTTTACGTTCTTATTCTAAGAGAATTGAAAAATGGTCTTTACCCATAATAATGACTTAATCCTATCTTTGCATTAATCTTATGGGGTGGAATTATAATTTATTTATAGTGATTCTAAATAGAAAATCTTTATCCATGCTTAGAAAGATTTATGTAAATTAAATTGAAATAATCCCAAGTCAATCGAATTTGTATTCTCTTTAAATTTTTAGAAATTCCTCTATCCTACACTAGAAATATTAATCAACAATAATATCTAAAAAGAAGAAGAAGCAAAATTTGATTGATAATTTCAAATTAAAGGCTTATCAGGAGATAGATTTAAGAATGAGTTTTACAGATTAGAGAGTATAAAAGTTAGTCTTAATACTTCTTTTATCAGGTTTGTATCTTTTATGGATATTAAGAAAAAGTGGAAATAAAATTGTGTGCCCAAAAAGTAAAAGTTCATCAAAAATAATACCCCCCCCTCCTGCCTCTGCTTAAAAAAAAAAATCTTATAATCTTTGGACCGCAATTCCTTGGGGAACAAGGGAATCTCTATTGAAGGGTCATATGAAGTTTTGAAGATATATAAAAATCTGTAATACTCCACAAAACATTTAACATAAACAGGACTAATAATCCCGAGATATTATTGATTGATGTATCATTCCCTATTATATTATTTACCCAAGTTTTCAATCAAATATTAAATTTAAAATTCTATATTAAAAATAAAATGAATAACACATCTATAAATCAAACAATCTGATAACAATAATATGACATATTAAAATCTCAAAATATTTAGCTGAAAAATTCCAATTATTTATTCTTTAAATTAAAGATAAACAAGAAGAATGAATCAACCAATCATAGAACTCAAATTATATAAAATTGAAATATTCATAAAAAATATACACAAAATTTCAACTTTAATTTTACAAAATTACAAAAGATAATTTTATCGATTTTGCAATATATAACATCATATTAGAGTAATAGAAATTCAATATTAAAAATAAAAAAGAAAATGCACGACTCTTTTTAAGTGAAGGAAGCCATAGCTGAAATCATTATTTAAGTTAAGGATGTAGATGAAAAAATCTTTGGTGTCATTTTAGAAATATTCAAAAAGGAGAAAGTTTAAGATTGCATCGGATATCTTTCGGATGATGAAAATCATAAACATTTGGAATAATAAATCTTTCAACAAAGTGATAATAAAAAGAAATAGTGTGAAATAATAAAGAACTTGAAACAAATAAATGATGTCTTAAAAAAAATAAAAGATCATGACTTCAATAACTAAGACTTTTCTGAAGAATCTAAATTAAGTCTAATTTAAAACATCAAGGATGATAAATAGAACAAAGAATTTCTGCAATTTTTAGTTCACCTCACATCAATTGATGAAACATTAATATAGGCTGGGTCTAATTCATTACATATATTAGTTTAGATGAAAGTGGACTTTAGAAACAAAAATTTTGAAAATATAAAGATTTAAAATATTTCCTTAGTAGGAGCTACTTTTGTATAATGTAATTTAAGTGGATCAGAATTTAATAGTGTTAACATAAATGGTATGAATTTGAATGGAGCTATATTATTTAATTGTAAATGGAACAACTTAAAAATCCATGAATTAAATTAATTAGTTTGTCAAACTTATTATGCTAGATCAGTCTGTTTTTCTTCTGATGGAAATACATTAGTATCTGGTGGTGGTAATGGTTTTGGTACTTATGATGACTCTGTCTGTCTATGGGATGTCAAAGCAGGATAATAAAAAGCCAAATTAAAAGGTCACATTAACATCGTTTATTCAGTCTGTTTCTCTCCTGATGGAAATACATTAGCTTCTGGTAGTTAGGATTAGTCTATCCGTCTATGGGATGTCAAAACAGGATAATAAAAAGCCAAATTAGATGGTCATACTAGTGGAATTTTATCAGTCTGTATCTCTCCTGATGGAAATACATTAGCATCTAGTAGTTATGATTAGTCAATCCGTCTATGGGATGTTAAGACTAAAAAAAAATAAGCTAAATTATATGGTCATACTAGCACTGTCTATTCAGTTTGTTTTTCTCCCGATGGAAAAACATTAGCATCTGGTAGTGCAGATAAGTTTATCCATCTTTGGGATGCCAAAACCGGACATTAAAAAGCAAAATTAGATGGTCATACTAATTATGTTATGTCTGTCAGTTTCTCTCCTGATGGAAATACATTAGCATCTGGTAGTGCAGATAAGTTTATCCGTCTTTGGGATGCCAAAACAGGACAATAAAAAGCCAAATTAGATGGTCATACTAGTGAAATCATGTCAGTCTGTTTTTCTCCAGATGGAAATACATTAGCTTCTGGTAGTTCAGATAACTTAATCTGTCTATGGGATGTCAAAACAGGTTAATCAAATGCCAAATTAGAGGGGCATCGTAGCGCTGTCTACTCGGTTTGTTTCTGTCCTGTGGGAAATATATTAGTATCTGGTGGTGGCAATAGGTTTCCTACTTATGATGGCCCTATTCGTGTATGGGATGTCAAAACAGGATAATAAAAAACCAAATTAGAGGGCCATAGTAGCGCCGTCTTTTCTGTCTGCTTCTCTTAAGATGGAAATACGTTAGCATCTTGTAGTGCTGATAAGTTTATCTGTCTATGGGATGTCAAAACAGGATAATAAAAAACCAAGTTAGTTGGTCATAGTAATTATGTCTATTCAGTCTGCTTTTCTTATGATGGAAATACATTAGCATCTGGTAGTGCAGATGATGTTATCTGTCTATGGGATGTCAAAACAGGATAATAAAAAGCCAAATTAAAAGGTCACACTAACATTGTCTATTCAGTATGTTTCTCTCCTGATGGAAATACATTAGCATCTGGTAGTGCAGATGATTTCATCTGTCTATGGGATGTCAAAACAGGATAATAAAAAGCCAAATTAGAGGGTCATTGTTGCACTGTCTTTTCAGTTTGTTTCTCTCCTGATGGAAAAACATTAGCTTCTGGTAGTGATGATAACTCTATTCGTTTATGGGACGTCCAAACAGGATAATAAAAAGCCAACTTAAATGGTCATTAATATACTGTCAACTCTGTCTGTTTCTCTCCTGATGGAAATACATTAGCTTCCGGTAGTTCTGATATGTCTATTCGTTTATGGGATGTCAAAACAAGATCATAAAAAGCGAAATTAGATGGTCAGATTAGTTGCATCAACTCAGTCTGTTTTTCTCCTGATGGAAATACATTAGCTTCTGGTAGTTTTGATAAGTCTATCTGTCTATGGGATGTCAAAACAGGGTAATAAAAAGCCAAATTAGATGGTCATACTAGCACTGTCTTGTCAGTTTGTTTTTCTCGTGATGGAAAGATATTAGCTTCTGGCAGTTGGGATAACTCTATCCTTCTTTGGGATATTCAGAACGGAAAAGCAATTTCATCCGCTGACAAAATTTATAAAGATATTCTAGCTTAATTTAAAGCACCACTTTGTTTAAACAATCCTTAACCAGGTATATATTTTCTTATTATTTTATAGAATCCAACAATGCTATCATTCTACGAATATCTCAAATACCATTATTTTAAGCATAAGGAGCTTTAATATTGAAAGGAGATTTTATAAATCATGAAGGATACGATTTAAAATAATTATTCAAATCCAAAGGAAGTTGCTTTTTAGAAGATTTTAAATAAAAGTGAATATTAAACAATATTACAATTATAATTACATTCAATTTCTAATATTTTTTTAGTTATATCTTTATTAATTCCACTCTTCATCTTCACCTCTAAAACTAGGTAATTTCTTATTTTTGAAAGTTTTATTCCATTTAGGTTATATATATAAACCTCCATTATTTTAATATAAATCAAATAAATGGTCAGTCTAGTATAGGGAGTATTAATTTAATTATAATAAAAACTTGTATAAATTAATATTTATAAAGGTTTAAACTTAATAGATAATAATTTAATAAATTCTCTACAAAGTTGAGTGCTAAAAGAAATAGTGGAATGATTTCTTAAAGAAAATAATTTAACAACACATCATTCTTTAAATCATCTATATTACTTAAAAAAGGGAAATTAATTATTATATTAGATTGAATTTTTGGTTTTTTAGTTCAAAAATAGTAAATATATTTAAGAACAAAGATTGTAAAAAAGATATATCAAGAATTAAAAAAATAATGCCAATCCTAGAATTAAAATAAACTCTAAAAAAAATTTTAACAATTAGATTTAACAATACCTTTTATTATTTA